CACTGTACTTTTACCATTAAGTCAACGTAGCCAAAATATGCTGTGTCTATAGGAATTTTGTTTGTAGCTATTAATATGATAACTCAACAGTTGTAAAATTACTCTACAATTTACAGAACAATTTGATGAAACCTTGGCATAAATTCTAAATTATAGGCTAATGTGTTATCCAAAGTGGGACTTTAAATCAATAATAAACCATGAAAGTTGTGAATGCTTCCATGTCTGTCCACATAATCAAATTTTATGACAAAAAAAAGTGATATGCCCCATATCTGGATGTAATATGACATCACAGTGCCCATGTACTGTATGGGATATCACACAAATTTGTCACATAAAATATGATAGATTGGACAAAGCTTTAGAACATAGTAAATATAATGGCAGATATCTGAAACATGAGCTTGTGGTATCTTTAGTAACTTTAGAATTCTTTACTGAAATTGACTAATTGTGTTTGATGACAACCTATTTGTACAATACTGTACTTAATACTGTGAACTATTGCAATCCTTTTGTTTGCCTCACTGCTATCTGCAGTAAAGGAGTGCCCCCAGACATTTCTTCACATTGAGTAACTGTTAACATTCTTTTCCATTATCCGATTAAGTAAAAACTTGCAACAAATTGTTTCAGTGAAATGAGAACTGAATTCGTAAGACATTTCTCAAAAATTTATTTACGAATTTGTCAGGTCATTCCATTTTGTTTTGAACAAGGGCAAGGCCAGTGGCCACCCAGCCTTTGGAGAGGGTTTAGGGCGTGAATCCCTGTAAGAATTTGATAATCTTTTTATCTCATATTCTAGAAAAATTCAATAGGAATTATTTTTCCCCAATAAATTGTGTGAACACCTGACCAGCAATGGAACTCTTCCTAATGTGTGCCTGTCCCTAGCCATCCCGCCCCCACTGGCACTAAAACTCTTTCTATTTTTGGAACAGGTAAAACTTGCATAAATCTTTTTGGTGAAGTTAATTCAAGCACATTCCCTGTAAAAGTTTGCCTAAGATTTTGCCAGATATGATCCAGCTTTAATTATCGTGATACCATCTCCAAAAATGTTGCAAGATTTGAACAAGGGAGATGGCATTGAACTTGGCAAATATGCAGTTCACTGTACTGGTACTATGGTTCTTTGAAATCATATTTGGTTAATGAAAAACTAGCCAGATGTTCATTTATTTTGTTGGCTGCTTCAACAGTTACTAGGATCACTGCCTGGGATTATATTAAAGATAAAGAGGTTGGATTTTTACCCATATGTTGGAATAATTTGTCCTCTCACCACAAAATGACTTGCATGATTGGACAATTAAAATTTGAATTTATGATACATTTCTTGGTATTTACACAGATCCTATACATACATTTGCATATAGGATCTGTGGTACTTGTAACTTTATCTTTTATTTTATTTATTTTTTTAATCAAATGAATATACACTTTTTTTTATAAGAACCAGTGAAATTTTGCCCAGGCTCAGTGTTCTTATTTTTTGGCGGATTTCAGGCTCAAAATGTTCTTATTTTGCTCTTATTTTACATACTTTTCAAACACAGAAAATTATATTGAACAGTAGTATACTACTGTAGATAAAAATGGCCACTGAAAAAAAGGCACAAGAAAAAATGGCCCAGAAAAAAGACCCAGTAAAAATGGCCCCAAATGACAGTTACACCTACTGTACTGTATTAATAGAGGGTATTACATAGTCACAACTACTGCATATAAGTTACAGATATATATTTTTTTGTTTTTCTACTTTAAAAATAAAGTAATTAAAAAACCTCATTTGACATTTTGCCTCAGCCTCAATTTGTTCTTATTTTGTTCTTAATTTTTATGCAGTTTCAGCCTCAACGTGTTCTTATAAAATGTGTTCTTATAAAAAAAAAAAAAGTATAAATCAAATCAATATTTCAAGGCAAAAATGATTAATTTCTAATACTTTTCCGGAATAAATTTGAAACTATTAACTTATTACGGTATGTATGCTTTTTTATAGTTCAAATTTTAATTATTATAATTTTGAAGAAGGTTGAATCAACTTTTCTAATAATTTTCATAAATACAAATAAACTTACGTGATAAAATGTATTTTATCATTTTATTTATAAGATTTTAATCAAATTGATACAGTAATTAATGAGAGATTGACTATGCCATGCTTTTTTTTATTGACCTTTTTAACAAAAATATTCTCAAAAAAAATATTCTCAACATGCCCAGGCTTGTGAACTTGGATAAGTTTCAAGAATACTACTTGAGCGAAAAAGGAATCTTGACAAATTTTAATAGGATTTATATCAAAAATACTATTTTCCTATTGGCTAGTACAGGTCATGCGACCAATTTTGAATTGAATAGACAATAAGCAGATTACCAGCCTAATTCTTAGTGCATACTTCGTACTTCAGCTGAAACTTTGTGCCCTCTTCAAGCTTCTTTGTATTCTCATTGTCGTGAAATACGGTATTCAACAGCTAAAAAGCTTAAGGCTGTGGGCCATATACAGTATTGGGTCATTGGGACTTGTGAATAGTATTGCAAGTTGTACAGTACTCTGACTATACTTTATAACATTACAATATTTTATATCTGATTTCATGCACACCTGTGCTAAATAGGAAATTTTGTACACATAAACTAGAAGTGATTTCCAACAAACATTCATTGCCCTTTTTTTTAAGTCAGACCCCAGTGTCTGACACCTAATGTACGCAAGAAAATGGGTTTCAGCAAGGACCGTACATTATTGCTTTTATTACACTAATAGGACATGTCGCATGGATGGTGGGGTCAGTTAAGGATGTGTTCTAAAGAACTTAAGGTTGTGAGTTCGAATTGCGTCTAGGTATTCAATTTTTTTAAAAATTATTTTAAGAAATTTAATTTTTTTTTTAAATTTTAAAATATTGTACAAATAAACATTCTAAATAATATTTTATTTTTGTACAAATAAACATAATTATTTAAAAATATCTATGTTGTTAGCTCTTCCAAAAAAATTTATGAAAATACAGTATAATAATTTGCACCTATACCGTATTTAAGCGTGGAGGAAGGCGCAGAGTGGTTGCTCTTGTTATTTATGTGTTTTGAAATTTTACTTTTTTTAATGTGCACTGCAATACTGTAGTTGTTAAAAACTGATGAATTTTTCTTTTTCTTTTTTTATGAAATTTATTTGAAATTGAACTTTGAAAGGTATGGTAGGGGCCAAAAATTGAATAGTAATTTTTATTTTTTACTTGTTTTCAAGCAATAGGTTGGCCTTACCTTATTCCATTATAATACCGTAAAACCTCGAATTGAAGCCCAGTGGGCTTAATCTTGAGATGAAGCCCATCTCGAATTGAAGCCCCCTCTTTAGTTTGCAAAATTAGCCTAAAAAAGAAACCCATCTCGAAAAGAAGCCAATGGACTTCTTTTCAAAATAGCATTCTCGAAAAGAAGCCTATGGACTTCTTTTTCAAAATAGCATTCTTCTTTTCGATATAGTACAGTACATACACTGTGCATGAATTTCATAAAACAAAATAAATTAAAAATAAGCTTGGTTTATACATTAGTTTAGGTGATTTAATGCCAGTTAAATACACTCCATAATACAGATTGATGTTACATTGACCTTATTTATTGTTAACATTTACAAATTCACAAAATTTACAGCATTCATTTTGAAAAGAAGCCCATCCCGAAAAGTAGCCCATCTTGAAAAGAAGCCCATCCAAAGTTCGCAAAAGAAAAAAAAACAGCACAGGGCTTCAATTCAAGGTTTTACAGTAAATTGATTTAATGCTTGAACACAAGACAAGTAAAACACCAATTGCACAAGTTTTTGATTTATGTGATGCCAATTTTAGTATGCTCATTGCCAATGGGTTTTTTTGTTTTTTTAAATCAATTTGCAAATTGCAAACTGATCATAGTTATTTAAATCATAACCTCTAGTAATTTTGACAAGAACCAGGGAATATTCATTTTTTCCACTCTGGATTGGATATGATCTCTTCATAGGATTCACACTGCAACCAATTGCTCATCATTGTTACCGCCAATTGATCAGAGTACCTCTTATGAGCTTTTATCGTGACTAATTAGAAAATCAACCTTCCAGTTTATTGACATAAACTATAGCTGAAACGCTCTTGGGAACCTAAATGTGGCTCATTTAATGCGTACTGTATCTGGTCCCAGTGCAGTGAACATCCAACAGCTTTTATGATACCGCTACAGTAGACTTGCATCTTTTCCAAGTTAGCTTTACTGTACAGGCAAATATTCACATTCACATTCTCCATGGACACACACAAATCGTTTAATATGCAAATCTTTTTTTATTGCACGGTTATCGTTGAGATTAATTTAGAGTAATGGATGTTTTTGTACATTTGCGAACTCATCTTCACGTATTAGTACAGTGTTTGACATTGCTTATGTCCAAGACAAGCAGTGTTAGGAATCGTACGCTTTATGTTCACCTTCTCGTCCTATTTTTTATGTACAAGGTGCCACTGTTGTACTGAAGTGAATACAATTTGAGGATAGCGCAAAAATTGTAGTGAATATATTATTAAAGTGAATTTTATTGAACTTTATGTTATGAAGCCGACTATTACAAGGCACACAAAACATGAAGAAAATAAAATGTATTTATTTTAAAAATTATCACAATTTATCAAAATAATAATCTAAGTTTATCATTATATGGTAATCTGTAGTTGGTACTTGAGCATTTATTTATTATTATTTTTATTAAATACTAAATAAAATAATTAATGCTAAATATTTTTCTTAAATATGACAATTGTTTTGGTGATATTAATTTTGATATTAGATAGATATTAGATTAGAAAAGTCAGATTTACAATATATCAAAAAATGTTTTTCTTCTGGAGCCTTTATACCATACAGTAGATCTATTAATTATTGTAATAAGTTAATAAATCATGCCTAAATAATTATATGTATTGTGTTTCTTTTATTTGCAGAAGAAGTCCAGTACTATTCAAGCAATAGATGACTGTTATGGTGATGTCAACTGCTCATCTGTATGTATACATTATTATTTTTTGTTTATTTTATTATTCTATCTCTCATTTTAATTAATTTTGATTTTATTCAAATTTAGCTCAGAGCATAGAATAGAATTTAAATATGTTTAATGGGTATAATAGAAAAGCTCAGTTACAAACCCTGGATTTAAGGAATCCTGAGGTCAGAAATTATTTTTATAGTAGACCTACTATACTGTACTGTACTCGTAATTAAATGGTTTTTGGCTAACCATCACTCATCCCCATGCAGGTTGTCTTGTAAAAAGGTAACCACAGGCTAAAAGTCTGCGGTGGGCAAGGGAAACACAAACTTTTATGGCAAAATAATAACCTGTATTTTTATGATGAATAAATGGTTATAGACTTAATATAATAATCTGAACGCCTGTAGCACTCTCACGCAGATGTGAATACAAACCGGCATTTTGTGAAAAGGCCATTTTTTTTATAAGGCTGAGTTAATTGATTTAAACTTCATAGTGCAAGGGCCTGCCAATATTTATGAACTTTTAAGCATCCACTTGCTCATGTGTATATAATAGGCCTGCCACTGTATATTCACAGATACCACCCTAGAGTGTCTTGTCCCTTCAAACACTAATCAGGGCATGTAATGACCCCTGACACTTGAGTCACTGAAGTAGAACACTCACGCACACTGCATTGGTCTGTTTCAAGTATATTTAATACATTGAAGTAAAAATTAGGGGAAGTCACGCTAACTCTCTTGTTGATAGGGATCCATGCCTCAGGCAGAGAAGTCCTCTATACAACATAACCTGAAAAGGGATTAAGGCCAATTGCTATCGTTTCATTCAAAGTATTCTTTCGTGAATTCGTCATCGCGTAGTTCATTCCCTGAACAAAAGAATGGAAAAAAATCGTAACAAGAGTGCTGTTGTCTTGTGTGTGATTGTTATCTGTGTGGTTCACTTTGTGTAGTAAAGTTTAGACTTATGATTGATGTGATTGACTTTGACTAGATATCAATAGAATCATAGATAATCATTGGCCTTATCTTTTCTTTAAAGAAAAAGGTAGTTCAGGATGAGCTGTTAGTGATAAATTTATAGATGCTTTATAAAGATAATGATAATGGTCTACTTAGGGTTTATATTTTACCTACAGCATGTTTGAAGTTCATTGAAAATGTCTGCTCTGCTTTATTACCTTTCTACATGTGATGTATTGTCTAAGGTAATTCCATGGCTCAGTGAAATAATTTTGTCACCAGCTGCCCCAGGGATTGTTGGCTTGCAGTATCACCTTTGTGAAGTTATAATTTTTTGTGTTCTGTTTGACCCATCTTAGAAGATTTGTTGCCTACATGTTATATGTATGTATATTATGAAGATTATGAAGAAAAAAATTTAGAAAGAAGAAAATGAAAAGAAAAAAAATTAGGATTGCCCAAAATGTTGGAGTGAAAATTCATGACTCATATTGACTTAAACAAAAGCACTCAAATCTGACCATAACTAGACACACAGAGTTCCAACCTTAATAATTGAGTACATCCCTACGAAAAAGTAGGTAATGATAATCAGTGGGGCCTAAATATTATTCAGTTTTGAATTAACCTTATAATATACTGATCAAAACTGTCTAAAATTCTTTAAAATGTTTTCCTTACTATCTTTTTCTTCTGTATTTTTTTAGTTCTGTTTTTTCTTTTCTGTTTTCTAATTTTTCTCCCCTTGTAGACTTTTTTCTACCTTTGTTCCTTCTGTTTCTTTTTTCCTGAGCACTCCCTCAAATTGGCGCATTGAGACTATAATGTGCCTTATAAGTTGAAGATTGGATTGGATTGTGCTGTACAGAGTGTGAAAGTGTGTAGTAATTAGCATATTCGATTGGGACTTATATTAGCCACGTTAAGTACCAACTCAACAAAGTATTTTGAAATTTAAGTATAAACTCAACGAAAAAGTTAACGTTATTTAACCAACTGAATACGAAAAATACCTAACAGATTTTCTGTTAAGCACGAAAGTTCCCATTCGAATACAATGTGTTGGCTAGCATTGGGTATCTACTTTCTGAGGTTTCAGTTACTCATAAATCAATTTATTTGTTTACGTTTATTCTTATTAGATCAATAGTAATTATAATTGAGGAAGTGTCTCTTCCCATTCCCATTAAATCTGCATTCTGGTTCCTCCTGTCAAACAAGCTTCTAAAAAGCCACAAACCTCATTTTCACTACCATAATTATATTAATTCGCCAACTAATAGATCTGATCTGCCAAATCAAGTTGGCTTTTTCACATGTTATTATTTCCCAAAGTTTGTGTTTCACTGATGCTACTCACTAAAATATTTTAATAGGGTAAGGAGATTGGCCACCATCCCCAGCCCACTACTGTACAGTCGAACCTGCAAATTACGACACCCAGTATTTTTATGAACATGTTCTGAGTTGGATCATCAGAAACTTTTTTTTAACCATGCAAAGTTTACCTCTGATTTCTCACTCGCCATACGATAAATTAGAGAAATAACATCAAAATTTAAGTTTTACATGTTACCAATCGAAAAATCACGTTATCATGAATATAATGCTATAAATCTTTGGATTATTATATTTTATTAATAACCGAATGTTATTTAATTGGAACTGGGATTTTTGTTGCTTGGGCTTAGTTGAATTGGCTTTTACTGTATTAGTGTACATATTCAGTTTAGCCCTACCTTGGAGGTCTTAAGATTAGCTTTAGGGTGAACTAATATGTAACTCAGGTCAACTTTCGACTTATTTATAGTTTTATATCTTAGGACTAAAAATAATTGCTCACCCGACGTAGATCTTTGATATATTACTGTAAATGGACGTATTACAAATTTTGCTTTAATTCGCTAAAAAAAATATATAAAACATAACTATTTTAAATCATATTACTGTATATATATTTTTTTATCATCATTAATAAAATTCTGCTTGAGTACTCCCATTGTATATACTATAGATTTGTACAGTAAACACTTTCATTCCCCATTACTTTAAGTGAATGTGTATTATGTGTGAAAATATAGATTGTATAATGAATGAAGACAGATTTTTTTTCCCCCAATTATTATATGCGTGTGTGATTGTCACTTGTCCATTAGTTTATTGGCTTGAATTGGTTTATTAAAGTTGATGATTCACCGTCTTGCATACGTAACTGTTAATCCCTGTCTAATCCCATGTAATCCATCACATTTGGGGATAAAGGTTGAACAGTGTGCACATCTCAAGTGGCTTTACATTCAAGGTTACATGATTGAAGCTGTTACAGGGAGAATCACACAAAGCAACCGTTAAATAATTTAATGAACATCACTTGGTTGCCAAGACACATTTCATAAATCCGTGTCCGTCTGCGTTGTTTAACACTTGGACTTTATAACTCATAATTTGATGCGGAAATCAGCTTTTATACACACATTATTACAGACTTGCTAATTTCACATTTATTATCCATTGCAAGAGTTTTATGATTTTAAGCTTTAAATCAGCACTGTAAATATGGTTTGCTGAAAGTTGCCTATTTCTGATGCAATGTGTTTTGACGAGACAAACATTTACAGAGTTGCTCTTTGTTTTTTGTTTCTCTGTATATAAGCATTAAATGTATGTGACATGTTTCAGAAATATTAAAACTATTTTTTACATATTTTTATGGACTGGTATTTAAAATTCTATGTAACTTTAGCAATACAGTATTTGGTTGCCAAGCTACACATTTCGTAAATCTGTATCCATCTGCGTTGTTTAGCACTTGGACTTTATGACTCATTTGATGCTGAAATCAGCTTTTAGACTTGCTAACTCCAGTTTTGTAAGTCATTAATAGGAAGAATTATATGATACAGTATTAATAATAATAATAAATAAATTGGAGAATTTGTATAGCGCCTGATAAAAAAATAATTTTTTGTCACTGGCGCTTAAAGATGTATTAGCTTTAAATTAACATTAAATATGGTTTGCTGAAAATTTGCAGATTTCTGATACAGTAATGGTCTTTACAGGGGTATTTCAGAATTGCTTTTTTTTTGTTGCCATTTATTTAAGAATGAAAGTGTTCATATAACTCAATATTACATTTATGTGACATGTTTCATTTCAGAAACATTGAAATTGTTTTTGTATAATTACATTAGATTTAATTATGTTTTAGTATTGTATATATGTAATTTACCAGTATGTACTGTAGTTTATAATCAGTTTTCCTAATACATACAGGGCAGTTTTACTGAGTTCTATTATTAGAATTTAAGTAAAAAATAGCTTCAAAATATGGTGTACATGCAGATGCTGCCCGGTAGTGTTGTCTACACACGTCAGTTACTATTTTTCAGATGAGGTTGAAATTTTATATTTGATACATCTGTGATATAGTTGTACATAATGTAGACAAAATATGTGTTCTGTGGAAACAAATATTAATTTGAGTAGTAAGTTTTGTCTTACATACCATATATGGAAATTAAGAATTATTTTATATTCCAATATATATTATTTTTAATTTTTATTTTATTTGTTTATTGAAGCACACGGCACATGCTCACCAAGGATTTTCAATAGTGAATATATCGCTGTCCTACTGTACTTGTAGGTGACAATGCCTTTGGCTTGAATCTTCTTTTACATAATTAATTTATTCTTTTAATTGTGCCACTGCTGGTTGGGACATCCCTCGGAAAGTGATTAGGTTTACTGTTGGAGTCCCCGGGGCCAGCATTTGTGACATTTTATTTTTGTTATGTGTGTGTGTTTTTTTCCGGAATAAATTGAATTTCATAAGACAATAGTATTAGTACACACCAAACTAAATCTCAATATGAGGTTTAGGGAGTTAGTGGAGTTTTGGTTGTGAGAAAAAATCCTGCAACACTGACAGGATTTGAACCCAGTACCCTAGGATTGGAAGGCAAGCATCATAACCACCAAAGCTATTTAACTCCACTCCAAATGGTATATTGGATATAGTTTTCATATTGTTTATTAG